TATCTTAGTAACTTAATCACAGATTCTATTTATTAACCTTTTTTGGGTTTTTCAATGAACTAATCTCTTCATGTATAATAATAGTAAGTAAATTTAGGTAGTCATAGCCTATTAACATTTTGTAGTAAATTACATATGTTTGGGCCAGAAGTCTTCTTACTTTCTATAAAAAGCATACACTCTCTATAAAGTTAGTAACTTTAGGACTACTATGGTAAACAGTTTTAAATATTCAGTTCAATTCTCTATCTTAGTAGTAGACCATATAATTATTTGTCATGTTCCTTTTATTTATCTTAAATAGACCTGAAAAAAATAAGTTTAAAAGAACTCTGGATTTTTTTCTGGTCAGGAGGGTAGAGTTAAATGCTGTGCTTGCCTCCTCAAAGAACCACATCAAAATTACAACAAAGCTACAGAACAATCACCGCTGAGAACTGCCTGAAGTCTAGCTGAACAGAAGTCCTATAATTGAAAACATACAGAAGAACCCACATCGAGACTGGTAGGAGGGGCCGAGATGCAGAATAGGCTGGTCCCATGCCTGCATGTGGCAGTTAAAAATCAGGAAGGATATCTTGGCTGCAGAGGTCTTGCCAGAGGAACAAGGGGTCCATCCCAGCCCTATACCAGGCCCCCCAGCCTAGGGTTCTATGCTGAGGAGAGAAGTCCCCATAACTTCTGGCTGTGAAAACCAGTGGAGATTGTGGTTGAGTGAGATGGAGGGTGGCTGCACTCCCAGGAGTTCCCCTTAAAAGGCCTGTGCACAGACTTACTTGCTGATAGACTCTCTCACTCTGAGTCCCCATGCTGGGACAGCCGCTTGAAAGGCATCAGGGTCAGATGGCGAATTGTCTGGCTTCAGGGAGAGGGCTGAAGAAGTGGTTTTCCCCCAGACAGAAGTGCTGACAGAATCCATTATTTCTCTGTTGAGCTTCTTCCTCTCTCAGTGTGCAGACACACGAGACCACCATAATTGAGTCTTCAACCTAGCTAACACTTTTTGCCCCACCATCATGATTCCCTGAGACCCCACCCCACCCAAATTGAAGGACCACTCAAGCCACTTCCAGTGGCTTTTCAATACAAGCAGCCTGTCTTGGCTGATGCTGCAGACTTTCCTAAAATCTTTTGAAAGTTCACAAAACCCTAACAAGCAGCATCTGGCTAAGGTGAACCCTATATCTCATGATGAGCAGCCCCAAGCTCAGCACTAACAGCAGCCAACCTTGGTTCACAGGTTGGCCAATCTCAGGCACCTCTAAACCCTGTGAAGGTGACAGCCATCTATGGATTACTTTTTTACTCATGTCAGGGGCCCTGGACAGGGCACAAACATTAGCTGAACTTGGCTTGTGGCAGGGTCTGTCCTAAGAGGCCACGTGGCTGGCACATCTGGTGGCCAGCTTCAGACCAAGGTGGAGCACCATCCAGGTACCTCCATGGGCAACATACCAGAAGGGTAGACTGGGCAGGTACCAGAGACCTGCTAAAGTGAATCCTGCTCTGTAGGGTCAGTCCCTGTATAACAGCCCCTCCACTGTAGTCACAGCCAGTCCTCACAGCAATTAGCCTGAGGGTCAGTCCCTCCCACTGATGTGCAAAGAGCAACCAAGTCTAAATATAACAGGAGGGCACACACAACCCACTCAAGGGACACACCTGCAGCACCTGGCTGAGGTGACCAGGGAGTCTCTGCTACTGGATCCCACAGGACACCTACTACATAAGGCCACAAACACAGGAAGGCAGTCAAAATGGGGAGACAAAAAAAACATATCCCAAGTGAAAGAACAGAACAAAGCTCCAGAAAAAGAATTAAACAAAATAAAGACAAGCAGTCTACCAGATGCACAATTATAATAAGCATGCTCAATGATCTCAGGGAGAACTTCAAGAAAGAGATAGAAAACAAAGGAGAACCAGTCAGAAATGAACAATACAATAACTGAAATAAAGAATACATTAGTGAGAATCAACAGTAGATTAGATGAAGTAGAGGTTCAAATCAGTGAATAGGAAGTTAAGATAGCAGAAAACATCCAGTCAGAAAAGCAGAAAGAAAAAAAAGAATACAAAAAAATGAGAACAGTTTAAGGTGCCTCTGGGCTAACATTAAGTGTATCACCTTTTACGTTACTGGGATACCTGAAAGAGGAGAGAGAGAACAAGGAATTGAAAACCTATTTGAAGAAATAAGGATGGAAAACTTTCCTAATCTAGTAAGAGACAGAGACATACAAGCCCAAGAAGTGCAGAGAGTCCTAAGCTAGATGAAGCAGGAAACCCACACCAAGACACATCATAATTAAAATGCCAAAGGTTAAAGACAGAGAGAATTTTAAAAACATCAAAAGAAAAGCAGATAGTTACCTCCAAGGAAGCATCCATAAGACTGTCAGCTGATTTCTCAAAAGAAACCTTGCAGGCCAGGAGGGATTGGCATGAAATATTCCAAGTGATGAAAAGCAAGAACCTACATGCAAGATTGCTCTACTCAGCAAAGCTATCATTTAGAATCGAAGAGCTTCACAGACAAGAAAAAGCTAAAGAAGTTCTTTACCACCAAACCAGTTTTACAAGAAATGTTACAGGGATTTCTTTAAGAAGAAGAAGAAAAAAATAAAAAATATGAATAATAAAATGGCAATAACTGCATACTTATAAACAATTACTTTAAATGTAAATGGATTAAATGTTCCAATCAAAAGATAGGGTAGCTGAATGGATAAGAAAATAAGACCTTTACAGGTGTTGCCTACAAGAGACTCACTTCAGATCCACAAACTGAAAGTAAAGGGATGAAAAAATATTTCATGAAAATGAAAACAAACAAAAAAGCTGAAGTAGCAATACTTACACTAGACAAAATAGACTTTAAAACAAAGGTTATAACAAGAGACAAAGAAGGATGCAGTGATCCTACTTCTGGGTATTTATTTGAAGAAACCCAAAACGCTGCTTTGAAGGGACATGTGCATCCATATGTTCATTGCAGCATTATTTACAATAGCTAAGATATGGAAGCAACCTAAGTGTCCATCAACAGATGAATGTATAAACAAGAGGTGGTGCATATATACAATGGAATAGTACTCAGCCATAAAGAATGAAATCTTGCCATCTGCAACAATATGGATGGACCTGGAGGGTTTTGTGCTGAGCCGAGTATGTCAGACAGAGAACAAATGTCGTATGATTTCACTTATATGTGAAATCTAAAGAACAAAATAAACAAAACAGAAACAAACACAGAGATACAGAAAATATTTTAATGGTTGGAAGCTGGGAGGGAGAGTGAGGGGTAGGTGAAAAATGGGAAGGGATTAAGAAGTACAAATTAGTAGTTGCAAAATAGTGATGGGATATAAAGCATAGGGAATAAAATATAGTCAATGATATTGTTATGTGTATGGTTGGCCAGATGGGTACTACAGATATCGGGGTGATCACTTTGTAAATTATACAAATGCCTAATCAACTGTATTGTACACTGGAAAATAGTACAACATTTTATGTCAACTGTAATTGAAAAATAAAGTGATTATTTAAAGAAAAATAAAAGCACTTTGAGTGTCTATAGTAGAAATACAGGCTGCCTCATTTCTTCTTTCCTCCTTCTTTCCTTATATAATCATATTTTCTAGTAGCAAAGTGAAATGTGAAGAAGAGAAAGAATTTGAAGTACATATATTTCAGCACCATAGCCTTACTGGATCTTCAGATGCCAATTGGCAAAACAAAATCTGTTTAGCCATGTTGTATTCAGCATCTTTAATCTATTATTTTCTCAGTAGAATAATTTCAGTGAAACTTACTTCAAAATGAAGCAATGTAAAAGTGAATTTCTCAAAGCAAATGTATTTACCTTGGCTGCAGTCATTTTCAAGCAAAGAGCATCTCATTAAATATCACTACTTTAATTTTACACAAAATTACATTTTAAAAAAGAGCATAAATAGTTGTCCGTTTTTATGAGGAAAGATTCTTGAATCTCTTTTTTCTTTTTATTTATTTTGAGACATTTGACTTTACTATGAAGTTAAGCTAGAGAGAACATTGGCAGAACTTTGTATGTCCTCATACGTAGCTTTTGGTGACAATTTAATGGAACAGAAAACAATATCTCGTCAAGTATTAGCTATAAATCTCCTACTTAAGAATTCAAGATTTATAGAATACCAAAAAATCCCAGGGAGGTGATTCATGCAGAACTGGAATATTCAGGTTGCTTACACTCCTAAAAAAAAAGTCTTAGATGTTTAACTTTGCTTTATAACATCATGGCCGATATTGAAATAAACCTTTGAATTGACATAAATCAGTCATTTGTTGTTGTTGTTCTTGTTTGTCACACTTTGTTGTTACAAGCTGGTATTCCTATTGTAACTATTTAAAAGCCATGGTATCACTCTTTTGAATTACAAAGGGAATACCTATATTTAATCTGAGAATTACTCAACTGTACAAATGCAAACACAGTTTTAAAAATAAAGCCTTGCTATAGTCTAGCATGAAAATATGCTTGATTTATTTCATGTTGTATCAAATCTTTGCCCGTCTGATTTATCTTCCAGCATGCTTATCAGATATTACTGGGTGAATCTCAATTACCCATATCCCAACATTCTAAGATACACAAGCAACTGTCTCCTCCTGTATGAATGATTTACTTGAGACTCATTTGTGAAGCTGTCTCTTTTATGGATCATAAAAATCTGGTTTTATGTTAAGTAGGTGGTTTGCTAATCTGTTAGAATGCCACTCTTGATAAGGCCTTTATGAATTGTTTGTAAGTACAGAACCGGACAATGCAAGCTTTATATTCGTTTTGCAATTAGCCAAAATAATTCTAGTAAAACTCTGGTAAAGATCTCTAGTATGAAATGAATGTAAAGTATTCATTCTTTCTTTATCTTTCTCTCTGGTTTTATTCTAGTTCATTTATTTATTCAAAAGCAATCCTCTAAGTTGCTTTTTCACTGCTTTTCATGTTACAGATTGAAAATGTTGATGTCTGCCTTAGTTTTCTAGCAGCCAGAGGAGTAAATGTTCAAGGTCTATCTGCTGAAGGTAAGAAAAAGCACAATTGTCACAAATGATATCCGAATTTATAAAACATTTTTTTCATAATGCAAGAAACGTTCAGTGGGAATGCTTAGCTCCTTAATACAAGAAGGGAAATCAATAAAGTTTCTACAATAGTAGAAACATAAATGCAATGGTTATCAGTGTATGCTTGAATTATTTAGATATGTTCCATATTTTGCCAAATTGCTCTTTACATGATTGAGTTTATGGGAGGGGGGCAGATTAACATCTTTATGTTATTACCAGTGTCTAATATTTTTAGTCTTAAGTAGAGGAATGTATGGATAGATGGGTAATGCTGGAAAATATATGGACCTAAATACAGGTAACAAGAGTAAAATTAATGCTCAGGTATTTTATCTATAACATTTCTGTAATATGATCAAGTTTGCAGTCCTAGTTTAAATATTTGGTAAGTTTAAAGAAGTTATCATGAGCTCTTAAATAATTAGCACTAACAGTATTTAATAACTGTTATATGTAAAAGCTTTAAAATCATTAAAGGTTTAAAAGATCATCACTAAAATTGAAATATAGAAAAGTAGAAAAATACTGAACTACTTTTATCATTTTCCTCGGAACCTTTTTCTTCTGCATGTATATTTTAGAAAAAAAAAATAAGTGGTGTTATCAAAAACCAATTGCTAACATTATGAAATAGCAGGTTCTTTCAGACCTGCATCAACAACTGCTTTTAGTTAGAATATTGTATATGAAAGAATTCTGCTAGCTATTGTTAAACATTTTGACTATTTAGTTTGATTAATATTTCTACTACAATGAATTTGCTCTGAAAACCCTTTTCCCCCACAGATACTAGAGATATTAGATAATGGTCAGGTTTTTAAATGTTGCTATCTTTGGAAAAAGAGGAATTCTGTGGCTTCTGAAACATAATCAACATTTAGTAGAATTATTGATTTTTCCCAGTTTTTTTCTATATTTAAATTTTATTTTACATTTGTATCATTTATATTTATATTTTATAATGTATAATATTAAATTACACATTTTGTGGCTCAAACCTAACTGGTGGTTCTGTTACTTAGAATAAAATTCCCCCAGGATAATATTTTACTTCCTATGTGGTTGTAAGCAGGCAAAAAATGCTACCATTTGTTTTGATTTTTTATGTCTCTTCCTTCTCACATGACATTTTTATTAAAATAAACCTTTTGAATTTTATTTATCTTCTAAAAATATATGAATGCTCAAAACGATTTTCTCAATTAGTGAAACATGCATAGTAATAAAACAAGAAATTTTTTTAAACTTTTTTATGATCATTCACGTTCATGGGAGAAAATGAATACTTTCTCACTGTAGCCTCATATAGATCAAGCCAACTCTTTTATCATATGGCAACTCTCAGGAAGGTTTGGAGGAAATAAAAAGAAGAAAAACTAAGTGCCTCATTTTGTATGAATAAATTCACTGCATAGTTTGTGTGGCATTTGGAACCATCAGAGAGCAAGAAATATAGTTTATTAATGTTCCTAAACTTCAAAAAGGAGACATAAAACCTTGACTTTGCAGGAGAATGTATTTTATTGCCAATAGCATGTTTTATTTAAAATGTGATTACAAGCTGCATAACCTTGTTTCAAGCTTTACTTCCATCTCTTTTCCTAATTTTAAAAACTATAACTGCAAGAGAAAAAGCTAGACTCTGCTTGCAGCATTCTTTGTGCACTTAATTTTTTGATCACTATTAGAAAAACTTACACAGGAGACCATGTGTTGGAACTAGGATTTCCATTTCCATGTATTCAATTATGTTATCTAAAGTCATGAGTAAGTTGATCTTATTATTTATTGATACATAACAAGAATTAAAAATAAAGGAATTGAAGCATTAAAAATGGATACCTATGATGTACTCTGCTTTATATATGTGTGTATACACACATCTATATTTTAATAAACTGTCTGGTGGGTGATTTGAAGGAGTGTTGACTGCTATAAATTCAGTTGCTATTATGAGGTGCACCCACACCATCAGTATTTATAACACAGGACAACTCACATTTTAAGTGGCTTTCTATGGCTCATAGCCACCACTATGCTGGTAACAGCTGTGTGTATTTGTTAGGGAGGCAAAGTGATAAATCAAATGATTAGAACAGGATTGAGAGTCTTTCCATTTCCAAGAAGAAGCTAAGTCTAGAAAAATTGTAGTTCAAGGTAAACAAAGAGGATCACTCAAGTCAACTTTGTTCTCTGTCCCCTCCATCCCTTCTTTCTCTCTCGTCTCTGAAATTCCAAGCTATTTGGAAATGTTAGCATGTTTCAGTTCTTATTTGCTTGAATGTGGGACCAAGAGAATCAAGTTGCAGTTCTATCTTCAGAGAGTTAGTCTACGAGAGTGGCACCTAGAATTTCACTTGTGAAAAACAAAACAAAATATTCATTTTATATGATACTGTTTTTATATTTTCCCTTTGATACAGAAATAAGAAATGGAAACTTAAAAGCCATTCTAGGACTGTTTTTTAGTTTGTCTCGCTACAAGCAGCAACAACACCATCAACAACAGTATTATCAGTCCTTGGTGGAACTTCAGCAGCGGGTCACTCACGCGTCTCCTCAGGCCGAAGCCAGTCAGGCCAAAACCCAGCAAGATATGCAGTCCAGGTAAGGGAGGGAAACAAGGGATGTGTTTAAAATTAATTTGTCCATATGCAACTTGTGTTTAATAAATTAGTGTTTGCGATTTTGAGAACTATTTTTATGCAGTTCTATCAATGTGACTTGCTTATTGGACTAATATTATAGAAGTTAAAACCACTTTTCTTTTGGTTGCAATTTTTAGGTGCAATGTTTGTATTTGCTTTTTAAAGATGATTGTGTTTGTGTCTTTCTTGGAAGTAATATGGCAGTTACTGCCTTCTGCAAATTATTTTATTATTTAGAGCGTGTTATTGAGCCCGAGCCTTTAGTTGTGTAGTTATCTTTTGTTGGTACTTTTGATCAATTGAATCACCAAATCTCTCAAGAGTTTGAGGTCTGAAAAACATAGGTGTTTGAGTGTTTGGGAACATACCGTTTTTTGATGTGAGGTGGGTGTGTGTGTGTGTTGTGTGTGTGTGTGTGTATTTATATACACACATAAATATGTTTGTCAGACTTGAGTCTTTTGGTACATGTAGACACAGCCTGGGGTGAGGTGCTAAAAAATCATGGCAACTTCCTTCCCTCTTCCGTTCCTGCTGTTTTTTGTTTGTTTTCCAATTTGGAGTTATATTACTCAGGGTTTAAGCAAGAGAAGCAGAACCAGTACAAGATATATATTAAGAGATTGATTGTGAAGGATTGGTTTACATGTTCCTGGGTGGTTAGGCCAACCTAAAATCCTTAGGTGGCCTGGCAAAGAAGGACAGGCTGAAACTGAGCCCTAACTGCTATCCACAAGTCAAATTGCTTTTTAAGGAATCCTCAATCCTGCTTTGAAAATCTTTCAAGTGATGAATTCAGTCCCACCCAGATTGTCTAGGATAATCTCCTTATTTAAAAGTCAACTGCTATGTTGACTTTAACCACATCCACAAAATACTTTCACAACACCTAGACTAGCGTTTGATTGAGTAAATAGACTGAATAAACCCAGCCAAGCTGACAAATCAAAAAATGATCACAGAATGAAATTAACAAGTTGCACGAAAACTGCTCATTTGTTCCTAGCCAATGACCAAGGAATCAGACAGTTAGCTCTACTCCATAAATAGCTATGATTATTTTTCTTAAGGAGGGAGAATATACAATGTGAAAATACTCTCCATCATTTTTAAAAATATATACATGTATCAAACATATGTAAATATTTAAATTTTTCATCTTAGAAGCCAAGACTGAAACTTAATAATACTGAGTTTGCCTTGAGTTTGTTTTTGGTGATTAGCACTGATTCAAAAAGACAAAATAAAATTCCAAACTACATTTACAAACCACCTCCCCCCCACTATTGTCAAATATTTTTTAACAGTTCCGAAATCCTCTTCTCTTTCATCTGTCAACTTCATAGCTCTCACTTCATATTAAGCGATATTTCTTTTTCTGTATAACCATGTAAACTCTATTCCCTTTGGCAGATTTTACTAATTAGTGGATTATTAAATCAATTAAATCATTGTTTTACTGAAAAATATAGAGTATATTACAAAGTCTATGGAGCGATATTTGTTATTACTCAATAATGCAGATGTACTTCTGTTTAAGCTCATCTTGGCTTTTGTGATGTCAAGTGAAATTGTGCAGGAATCAGAGTGAAAAAAAATTTTCTACTGTGTAAGTTCTTTTGATTTCTTAAGGATAGAGAGGGGAGAAAAAAGGAAATATCTTTTTTTAATTTTTTTGTATTTTATGGGGGGATGGTTTGTAGAAAGAGATCTAGATTTTGAAAACTGCCAGAAATAATATCTCCTAGAGTTTGTTTAAAGCTATCTGAATTGACAAGAAGCAAGAATAGTAGCTGAAAAAATATAGGAAGTAAAGTGTTATTATACAAAGCATGTTGACTCTGGAAGTGATATGGAATATCATTTGTCATTAATTTCCCTCATTCTATTTCTGTATCTGCCATGTGCAATTTCTTGCCCAAAAATCTCTCAGTGGTTATGACCCTTTTGGACAGATATTATATTTTATTTTTCCTATTCTCCCTGGATATGCATGGCCGTTCAGAAACAGTATTATATTTTAAAATATAGAGCTGTATATATTAGTCATGGTCATATTACGCCATTTTGGGGAATGCTGCCTTATTTTTTTCATTGAAAGGTTATGAAAAGTATTCTTTTCACCAGTGTCCTTTAAGATTGAGATACTCTTAAATAAGGTTTCTTCTGATAAATTGGATTTAATTACTTTTTGGATTAATAATTAATAAATGTAGAGTACTTGCTATATTAAATGTAGTACGTAGGACACTGGCATAGAGGAGTCTTAATTTTAATAATGTTTATTATATGTTTTGGAGAATATTATATTCCAGACATTAATATTTCCATTTGTATAGATTTGGTATCACGAAATAGTCTATGAATTAGAATTTATGTGGACTTACATATAATAATCAATATACTGCAGCATTTTTCAAAAGCCTTTATTGATACTATACATAGGGAAAGAATACAGTGTCTTTATAATGGAACCAAGATAATTAATTCAGAAAAAGAATTCCGGTGACACATTTATCTTCATTTGCTTCAGATGTGAGTCATACATCATGATTTATGGACTCTTTCTATTGATTCCAAAGCTCTTTCCAAGGAAATAGTGTAAATGACTAGTTGCTGTACTATTCTGGATAGTTAGCCAGAAATTGTTCTTGTATTTTGCTTTGTAGATTAATAAAAAAGAAAAAAATTAGGTCATATGTTTTAGTTCAGTGTGAGTGTTTTTGATATGTTTTCTTTGTTTATTTAAAATAAATTGGCATAACTGTATATATTTGCACAATATGTATTTTATACATTAAGAATTGCTAATTTGGTTTTGCTCTTTTGAAAACAACTCCAAATGTTTTCAATCAATTTGAACATTTTTTATGTACACAGACATTTTGATCTAAAAGTTAGCAAGTAAAACACACAAGAGAGGAGAAAGGAAAGTGTGGACCCAGAGGAATAGAGCGTGGGGAACAAACTCTCCCCTCCTGGCCTCTCAGCTTCCTGTCCACTCCTGTGTGCTTGCGTTTGTGCGTGGGTGTGTCCTGTTGCAGTAGCGACTAGAGCTCTGCTTATTAAGAGCTCACCCCTAGCATCAGACTGCCGGCACTTGGATCCATTGTAAGCACTTCCAGTTGGGTAACCTTGGACAACTTACCCAACCTCTCTGTGCTTCAGGGTCTCAGTTGTTAAAAGGGAATAAAAAATGGCACCAACCTCATGAGGTGCTTTTGAGGGTTCAGTGGGTCAGTACATATAAAACACTCTGAACATACCTGGCACCTTTTACTCCCCTGCTCAAGGCCTTGCAGTGGCTTCAAATAGCCCAGCCTTTCTGCCATCTTAGGAGATGTTCACTAGCCAATTCCTTTGCCTGGAATGCTCTTCCTCTGATAGCTGCTTGGCTAAATCTCTCACCTTCTAGTCAACTGCTCAAGTGCTGCCTTCTAACTGATGCTCACCTTGCCTACCATTTTAACACTGCTAGCTTCCCATTGTAGTATTTTGTTGTACTTTTTCTTTTTTCTGTAGCTTTAACCACCCTCTAACCTCTTTGAGTGACTTGTCTATTCCCTTTGCCCCCCTTTCCAAGGTTCCTGCGACTCCTGACACACATGTAGGTGTTGGAGTCCTCTTCCCATTGAGGACATGTGCCTTTCTCTTTTCCAGGAAACATAATTTCCTTCTGGGAGATTCACCCTGAAATTGGGATAGTTTACAGCTTTTCAGCCTGGGGCTATAAATCTTGTAAAGTATATAAGGAAGCTTAATTTAAGATGACAGGAAGGCACTGGTAATTTAAGCTCTCATGAGCCTGGCTTCAGTTAGTTGCTTAACTCAGCGCTGTGTTGTGACCTATAGTGTGCTCTTCAAATAAGTCAGTGAATCAATTAAGCTTTAAAGAAAAGAAAACAAGAAGGATATTTGTGAATCTTTTTAAAAAGCAGGATGTTTTTTTTAATGCCTAAAGAGAAATAATTGAAGGGAAACAAATTATTCTTTAATTAACAAGTTTTGGAAACCAAGCGGGTGTAATATTAAAAGAGTGTATTACACACACACGCACCTGCACACACACACACACACACACACACAGACACACACTCACACATACACTTTGTTTATGTTCTATGTTCCTAGTCCCTATTTAAAAAGCTTGACGGCCACTCATGCTTCTGTTGTTGTAGAGGAAGCCACATCTATATAGTTTGGGTTATTTTAAAGTCAGGAAAACATAGTTTGAATTCTGCCTTCCAGTTCCCAGTGGTGTGGCATTGGGCAAATACCAGTGTTCTTACCTCTATATTAAAATGATGATGACTGCCCCATTGGGTATTGAGAAGCCCACTTGAAATAATCTATATATAAAGTGCATCTTTAGCATAACACTTAGTGTGTAATAGACACACAAATAACTACTTTCATGTACCCTTCACCCACTTTAAGATCACATCGCATGCCTTAATGAAATATATTGACCCATATTAGAAACCTTCAGTCAACCTCAACACTTTTTCCTCGTTTCTCACTTTCTCTTGTGAAGTCTGTCCATTTCACTTCTAACTTTTATTAAATATGTAAAAGTAATTAAAAGTAATAATACCCTTAAAAATAACAGCCTAATCCTCAGACCCTTCCAAGCTCAGTCTGGCTACGCAGAGGTGATTTTAGGTATTTCCTTTAGTAGTTACTATCATATAACTGAATAAAACACTTCTACTATTAGTTTTTATTTATTAATTTTGTCATTATCTTTTGATTCACACACTCTTCCATCTCTCCCATCCCCCTTTAATGTAGTCAGCAAATATTTATTTAGCACTTATTATGTTCCAGGCACTCTTCTCAGCACTAGAGATACAGCAGAGGAAAAAATAAATTAAAGAATTCTTGCCCACTTGAAGCTTACATTGTAGTGATGGGGTACGAACAATGAAAAAATTATTAAAATATGTACCAGTAATTGGA